TTATGCACATTAGAACAATAGAAGCATTTTCGTCGTCAATACGCCGATTCGTTGATGCTGTGAATGATGTGCGATTTGACGTGGCACACCGTTTAGTTTAGGCGTTCAAAAAATTCGTTTCTTTAATCCATGAAAAGTGCTTTGTGAATAAATTCCAACGGTTGACCTCATAAGCAAACGCCATATCTTAAATGGTCAGTCAAAAGTGCTAAATTTTTTGGTGAATTATTCATGTCGATCCTTACACCATTGCGTATTATCGGCAATATGTGATGATTGCCACTTTCGCACCACACTGAAAAACACCAGGCAGGGAACATTGTTGGAAGTACCGAATGGAAAAACAAAAATTCTTACGGCTGGCTGAAGTGGCGGCAAGGGAACCTCGAAATGTGGCGTGATTAGTGTCAGAGGCTCGTGTTTGAGTCCGATTTCTTCATAAGCTCTGGAATTCCGATTGCTGATCACTTGAAAGATTAAGTGGTGGAGCTTGAGCGAAACAAAATAGAAATGAAACGTACTTGATGGTTTTCGGCCATATGGACAAGTCCATTGTGTGTAAAGTTGTATCGAACAATTTCATGAAGTCACTACTTTGAACAACCTCGAAATCACCCTCTTGTAAGCAAACTTTAACTTGCTCTGATAGGTAAATATGATCAGGTATTGGATGGGCATCCGCCAGGTCCGGTTCATTACTGTCCAATTGATTGAGCACAATACCTTCGGTGAGGTATTTGAGAATAACATCCTTCAAGAGAGCTTTCGTTACTATCACAGAATGCGATCGAGCTTCTTCTTTTAAATAATGCCACCGAGTCGTCAATTCGATGGAATTATGAAAAGTATCTGTCACTCATCGGCAGGGATTATCGATTAAATGATTGAACATTGAAAGATGTTTTTTGTAATTCAAGAAGGATTACTCTGAACGTCTGATTAGTTCTTGCGATGAATTTAGAGGAGAGAAACCGTGAATTTGCTATCTGACGTTGTTTATGAAATTTCGGAAGGTAAATAAATGCACTCTAACAAACGACGCCTTCAAACTGACCCATATTTTAGCATTTTCTTCCTTTTCCAGATACTGATCGCAGAACATTTGCACTGAACCCACAACGACGAGTTTACCGCCAGGATCCTCGAAAAATCAATCGTTATGTTCATGTTCATATGCCTGGGAAGGGGTGAACTAGTGCCCTTGAACAGGTTAGCTTGCAAATTGCTCGGAAAATTGCTTGGAAAACCAGTATGTCTGTGCAAATCATACAACGTTAAATTATGTGATTTCAATCTATTTATGCAGTGATTAATTAACCTGTAAGTTATGGAAAGCGCATATGGGTCGATTGATTGGATAGCACGCACTTCCGGTTGATAATACGGCTGTTGATAGCCGATTCACCGTCAGAGTTGCGCCAAACGGATAAACGAACGACAATGATCTGCAAAGAAGATATCACAGTTGTCTTCAAGAACATCCGTTGGCTTTCAGTCCTGTTACCTCATCTGGTGTTTGGTAATCACCTATTTTTTTCTATTTTCCCAATACAGCATTGAATTCACAGGCATTCAGGAAAGACAATGAATTTTTGATATCTTCTGCACAAAATCATCAAACTGATAACATTGCA